ATTATTAATCTGAAAATTGTTTGATAGGGATGAGCAACTCCGATGCAGTGCACTGCTCGTGTGTGATTTTGGTGTGCTGTGTGTATGTATTTTTGAATATTGTAGGCGTAATTAATAGTAGAAGATAGTGAAAAGGCAGGCAGGGTTGTTACTAGCGATAATAACAATTTATTTCATAATCAATCTGTTGAAATACGTAGATACGTTTAACAGATGGCATGGCGTATGTGAAATGGATAGGATATAGAAAACGTATGCTTATTTTCATAAGCATCGTTTGAAATATGGTTATATGAACAACATTCATTTCATAAATAGAGTAAATTATTGCTAGTTGATCGATTAGAAGCAAGCCTTAGAGTTAGTTACAAGAGATCAGTGATAACAACTGAATAGATGACTATGTGCTCAGTTTTGAAAATAGATGTATTTGTGTTGATAAACATAAGTGAATTGCAAATAAACACTCATAGAAATAGCATAAACGGCTATTAAAAGACTTACCGCCACATGCTTGAACAGTCTTAAAATGCTCTGATTATGATTGTGTGCAAGTGATCAGAGCTGTACTATTCAATAAAGGCACAAAATGAATTCAGAATGTCTTACTCTTATCAATACATCTAAAATATGTGCGGGATTTGTCGTATTGCAAAGATATTCGTTTATCATTAACCGAAAGTAGCAAATATGTTGTAATGGCTGCTGATTTAATGGAAGTGTTTTGTATGATATAAGAGTAATGCAAACAACAATAAGAAGCTGGTGTTGTTTGATTTTAAATAGAACGAACAGCTAGCAGCAGCGATTCATATACACGCACACATGTGTATGATAATTAACATACAAAGAAAGGCTGGCAGGCATTATTCAAAGCATTTGAATTAATAACAAGTGCATGAAATATTGATAAATAAATTTTATGAATACATAAATGTCATGCATACGTACGTGCTGATACATATTAGGGATGAGTTGAATTGATATTCGTTTTTGATTAATACCTAGTGAATGTGCTGCTTAGCTGTTTTAGAGTTAAATGAATTGAATATTGAGCATAGCAAGCAAGTAGAATATAGTATTTGTATTTGTAGGATTATGAATGTTTCGAGTGGAAGTAATTTTTGAGTGAATAAATTCATTCGAGGAAATTTTCAATGCTGTTTCGGTTTTGTTCTTTTAGTTTTCAAAGTTTTCAGTATAGAAAAAGACATTTGGTGAGAAATTATTACAAATTGAGGCATTTTTTGTGTGTTCCGGTGATCTTGGCTGGTAGAGGGTGCTTTCTTCCTTCCGGAATAAAGATGATTCAGTGAATGATCATAATCAGATAGATATGAGTTGTTTTCAAGTTGTTGTTTAGTCAGCAGACATTTAGTCGTGACTACGATGATGAATAATTAAGTAAGCACTTAATAGATCATCGAGCATGCATGCGTTTAGCATTAATCACTGATGTCATTTCCGGACAATAACAACAACTTGTTTTGACAGTTAACTGGGTGTTGCTGTGTTTGATGAGATTGTTACGGTATGAGTGTTGTGTGAATTTGATATTGGTTTCTTGATTAGGATTTATTTGCTTTACTTGGAATGTTTTGTACTCGCTTACTGCTTCCGGTGACCTTTAGTTTTGTCATCTTCAGAGGAATTGAGTTGCGATCGTTTTTAGTAAGCACTTTTTTGCATTTGTTCAGATAGATAGGAGGGAGGGAAGGAGACTGGCAGGCTTGTTTTTGGTGAGTTTAAGGTGGTTGGTTATTTTTGGATGGAGATGGATGGTTGCTTAGCAAAAAAGGAATTCGGTTGTTGCTTGCACGTTTGTTAGTGCTAATTAACATAAATATGATAAATGAATAACGGAACCGATACTGAATGATACGAAAGAACTGTTGCTTGTTTCGGATAGAAGGCTAGTAGTGCATAAAGATGACTTTATTAATTTGTTGTAGATCACAATAATGATACTGAGTATAATAATAATTTATTGTACATACATATATAAATAATAGAGAGTAATTTCTAAACAAATTTCAACTAAAAAATTCAATTACCTAATGAAAAAGCGGCAAAATAAGAAGAAGAAATGAGATAATACAACGAATGAATTCAATTGCAAAACAAATAATCAGCATTTTGTGATCTGGTTTACCGTAGTGAACGTTACAGTGTTCGGTAACTAGTCCGTTGGTTTTTGCGTATGATTGGGCTGTTATTGGGCAAATTGGTTAAGTTTCTCGATTTACGGGAACTCGATTCATGGGAAGAATAGTGGCCACTTGTATAGCACACGGGCACTATATAGGTACGCACGCACGCGCCCAGACATCCTGTCAGCTCAGTAGGTACGTACGCCCATCCAACGATAAGGCTACGCACGCGCGTGTGTTCGCGTGTTCGCCCTTGTGCTATATAAGTAGCGAAAAGAGCGATTAGAAGTAATGAGGGTTAGGAGGGAAGGGGCTATAAATACATGACGGCTATTATAATAAAAAGGTGTTGAGATTTTTATATCACATTCACATTTGAACGGATGAGCAGTGGACATGAGACGAATCAGTCGGTCGGTCATTTTGAAGAGTTAATAGTAATTAACACATAAATAACATGATGAATAACTGAAGCGTTCGTGTGAATGATGAAAGGCTGCTCGTTTTTATTATTTATAGTACTGACCCGATGAGGATAATCTCTTGAATCAGACGTCTGCGGTGAACGTTAAGATGACTGGCTGAAATTTAAAATGATTTATAGGTATGAATAGGTAAAGTGGGTTTTGAACCGACCTTATGGTCACCCATGCAAATCTCCTTTCCGATACTATCGTAGAGTTTCTTCTGGTCACGTTGCACAATCTCGAACGCACTCTCATTCATGAGCACACGATCACACCACGCCGGTGCACGAGTCTTCATCAGTGCCTCACTCTCATCCGGATCTTCACTCCATGGATAGCTGAAGAATATACCATTTGATAAGTGCTGATCCGATAGTTTGTTAGATTAAAAGAAGAAAGGAATTTACGTTGGTGGAAATTGAATGTTGAGTTCGTAAAGCGATGGGAAGCTCTTAGCCTCTTGATCATCCTCCAAATAGCCACGCCATTCATGGAGCAATTTCTTGTGATTGAAATAATCGAATCGATTTCGTTCAATACGCAAAACACAACTGAATATTGAATATTAATGATGAACGGCACTGGAACGCAATGACACTGATGTAAGTACCTGGAAGGGAGATCGGTTCTTGAGCCATTAGGTGAACGTCGGAATTCAATCGCTGAAACTGTGCGTCGCAATTGCTCACCGTCACGAGTTGTGAGCAGCGTATCGCCGAGCTGTTGGGCAGCTGCCTCGACTGTCAACAACGAATTTCCACTGTTGCCAAAATTACTATGCGATTCGAGTGAATCGTGTCGTTGATCTGCTTCCACTGTTATACGCTTAAATATTTTATGAAAGATGTTGTTTGCTTGCTTAACACGGTGCTGTTGAGATGAAATAAAATGACATACATTCAGAAATGACGGTGAATGCAATCTGAAGTTGAGATCACCAAAAACAAATAAAGGATTTGGCTTCGTTACTGAATTATCCGATACTCTGGCTGCTTCATCGAGCACATAGTTTAGTGCACGCTTTCGATTGTCACTATACAACGAAGGATTCTGCAAATTGCATTATTACAACAGAATAATAAGAGTAAGAAATTGATGATGAAGTAGCTCACCTCATGTATAAGTGCGATATTGGATTCATCGTGGAACAGATGTACGTTAAGGAAATCTATTGGTCTGAAATGAAAGTTGTTTGAGGGTTTCGATATTGATGACAGAATAGGTGGGATGGATCGGATCGGATCGACGACTAACGTTTTGTTGTGTCTGAAACGACAGTGTATGAAGCCTTTTCGACCCCACTTGATGGCTGGCCAGAAGTGTTTCGGGAATTTAGCTTTACGCAGTCGCGTACATAACGCTAGATCCTTTTGTATCATCTCGAAACCATTTTTCATACGTTCGAATTTCTTTTCACGAAAGTCGTACTGTTCCACTAAAGGTGATATACTATCGTGCACAAAAAATAACGATCCGAGTGCCTGCAATACACATATCCGGTTTGTACTGCTCTAGTATATGCGATCAGCAATAAGCTCTACGAAATGGAGTTAAATAAGACTTGCATTGTACTCATCCGGTATGTAGTATTCCAAATCCAAATAAGCTCGTCCAATCGAATAACCTAATTGATTCATCTGATCAGCTATTTTGTCCACTAACGGTGGCACTTGACTTGAGCACTCTTCATAGTGTTTACCACCAACTTCTTGCATGTGAATAGCAACGAAGTCAGCTTTTTCTCGTTCTATCTCCTGCAGTAATGATAATTGAGTGTGACATTAGTTTTTGCTAAGCTCTAGCAACTATTACATACCTGAATTAAGGTTGTCAACCAGCCATTATGTATTCGACATGACTGAAATGCATTTGAATTAACTTGGTTTGGCATATTTGATCGTTCATTCTTGAATTAATAATCATGAGGAGAGGAGCTGAAAGTGGAATGTCTGAAGTTACCTTTTCAAATAACGATCCAACATTTGCTGTGATAAGAAGGAATTTGCGTTTCATTCTGAAAAATGAAATGAGCTGATTAATTGGAGGAGCGATCAGTCAACGGCGAACTATCAAAGACGAAACTGCCGCAAATTTATTATGTTTGTTATCGTTCGGATTGCAACAACGCATACGGAGAAATGGCGATAGCGTGAAGTTGTGAAGGAAGAAGAATAGGTGGGTGGGAGGGAAGACATGAAATAAAATGGCATTTGGACAGTAATTATTGTAATTGATCGCAAAATAAGGAGTGAATGACGGATGGGGTGGCTCGAAGGAGTATTGTGTCTATTTACAATTGATTTTTCGTAGGGAATTCGAACGAGAAGTAGAGTCCAAAGCTCAAGTGAAATGAGGTTAATTGCATTGAGGGATGAGCTGGCAGGATGCAGATCAACAGATATACGATCATTTTAGTCGATCGATCAGACAATTAATTCGAGTAATCATTAGCAGACTGGTTGAAAGCAGTGATTAATGAATACTGACTGAGATAAACAGTAATTGCGATGCTGGACATGAGGATAGAGTACTTGATGGAATTGGGTGAGAGTAGGGCCGGATAGAAGGTGGTCTGGTTGGAAGAGAGGAAAATATAGGTTGAGTTGGTTGGTTAGTTGGTATTTGGTTGCGCGATGACGTAAATTGACGATGAATGGAATGTAGGAAGGATGCATGAATGAGTGTTTTTAATAGGGAATAAAGAAAAATTAAAGATGTTCGCTACGATTGTAAGATTGATTAAATCGCGTACATAGACAACACTGTCGTGCATGATATAAAATATGAACGAAGAGAGTGGATTGGAAATACGTTTTATTGAGACGCTGCTTAGATTTATTAAATGAAGTAGGAAATAAGATAAGTGAAATTAGTTTGAAGTGAGATGATTTCGTTTCGGTATTACCGATTATGAACATAAGCAAGCGTATGGCAGGCATTCATTTACGCATCATCATCATCAACCGGTTGCAGTAATAATTGTTGTTTGACAATAAACAGCAGCAGCAGCAGCCACATAGTGATGGCGCATGCAGCAGCAGCTATTCAAACTGATCTAATCACATTTTTATAACATCGCTCGCTTATAATATAGCCGTTTAGACACAAATAAGTCAGTCAGTCCACAAATCATTGCTGTGAATAATGCATTACTACCATAAAATATCACGCATTCAACTAAAAATCTCTGCTTGTTCACTTCCTGCGTTGTATATGAACTTCATGTTCGAATTAGATGCATGCATAGAGGGATGAATGAAGAATAATCTATTGGCTGCTGTTAGCTGGGATGAGATAGATGCATTTGAGATGGAACAATTTGAGATAAGGTGGGCATTATTTGGTAGAATGAATATATATGACAAGTGACAAAGATAATAATTGTAGTAAGCGATTGTTAAAGAAAATATTGTTAATTGGTAGTGCGATAGTAAGAGTGATAAAAGAGCACTAGTGATTGTTCACATCAGACAACGATGAGAGGGATTTATTTTAGGTCAGTTTGATTTGGATTCGAATCGAATTGAATTGAATTGAATCGAATTGAATTCAGCGTGTCGATCGAAAGACACGTGTAGTCATGAATGAATGAAATATGAATGCTGGGTTAGTCAGTTAAATGGAGGATGCGATGGGATGTGAGTTAGTTGATTGCTAGTGGTGACATACGCAAGTTGACGGAATGATAATGCACTTATAGCACTGTGAAAAAGTAATAATGGATTATTTAATACTGTACTATAATGATAGTTAGTTAGTGCGCATTCAATAGCATTTTGCTGTAAAAAGAAATACTTTGACAATGCAAAAAATGTTATTTGATCGCTTTGCGAACGAGAACAAGTGTTGTGTATGAAGTGCAGTGGCAAGCTATAATTAACGAACATATTCCGCGAATTGGATTGAATTAGTGAATGCAGAATGCACTTTCAATAATCACTGACGACAGCTGATTGATTCATTGACTGAAATGTTGGCTGCTCTTTCTTGAGAATCTGTTTTGATTGGACTCGTTTGAGGAGTAATTCTATGCGAACTTATGACTTATCAGAGGAAGAGTGTTTATGTGGGTATTCATGAAGGAGACGTGTTAGGTGAATAGAGATTGTTCGATCGAAATAATCAATGCTCAGCGAGCAATCGCTTGAAAATGCTTGAAAAAAAATTGAAAAATGAAATCAAATGAGAACAAACGAAATATAATTGGAATGAGTTCGTTTACTAATTCAGTCAGTCATAAAACATAAGCATTCCGATCATACCACAAGCACAATCAATCAATCAATCAGTTGATCACAACTAATTCATATAAAATATTCATCGGATGCACCAACCAACGACCGATACTTACCGAGCGATTGCTAGATTGTATCGATTGATTCACATTCACCTCCTAATTCGTGGTGTTTTGCACATATTCGATTTGAGCAAAATGATTCGTTTTAATCCGAAAGCATTATACACACATCACGAACGTATTACGTTTCAAACTGTGACCGTAAATGGAAATACGCACGAATATTATATACATATAAGAAGTTTGCATGTTTTGTGATTCGATCTGATTTGAATACGAAATGATCAATATTATCAGTGATCAACGGTGGCGATTAGATGCGTACGATGCTCGTCTAGGTGTTGGGATGAGGGAATGACTGAGTAAATGGTGATAAGGTATTCGCTGATAGCGCTAAGCTGATGACGTACGACTCGTCGCTATCAATTTTTATTGCTGTTGATCTCAACTGCACGCTCGTTTATTAGTTTGGCACAAAGCAAGCATATACAATATTTGATCAAACATCATATGGAAGCAATCTTTGAAAGTCGAAAAGGTTATTCGAAGAGTTAGATGGCAAGTAGGTACATAATATGAAATATGTAGGATAATGAGCAATATGAGCCAGGGGTTCCCATAAGGAGAAATTACCTATTTCTGGGTAGTTTAGGGGTGTCACAGGGCAAATGGAGGGGTCGGGAAATTAGTTCTGACATTATGTATGGAAAAAGTAAATTATTATAGCGGGAAGGAGGGGTAATGACGACCTGCCAGACCATGGAATGGGGTTTAAGGAACAGCCGAACGTGGGCACCACTGGCCTAAGCATTAGTTGGTAATGTCGAAGTTAGCAGCGTATGAGAGTGAGAATAATAATGGTAATAAAAATACTAATGAACGTAATGTTTTATATAGTAGGAAGGGATTTGTTTAAGATGACGCTTGACAAGTTAGAAAATAATAACTCGATTGTAAAATGATATGCACGGACACTTGAAGTAGTCGTGTTGAACTGAATTTCGATATTTCAACGAAGGTAGTTTACATAGGCACGAAATATAAAATTATAAACAAATACTTGAATATGTTTCTTTTTTAGAGAAGGACAATAAGAAATTGAAGTTTATTGTTCAGATAGATTGTAACAATAGTAGTTGAGTAGAGTGTTTGTTTGAATTGTGCAAAGGAATGCTTTTAAAAGGTTGAGTAGCTGCTTGCTTGCTTGCTCGATGGATAGGCAGCTAGATGTTCAGGGAATAATTTAAGTTGTTTGCAATCCTATTATGTTCCATGTTTTGATTATTTTGACATTGTATTCACTCTTTTTACTACTACTACTACTATTTATGATAATCAAGATGGTAATGAAGGTTCTAAAAACAACAACAATAATAATAATAATCAGTTCAAAGCAATTTATAGAAAGTCAAAACGATTCGGAGTATCGATGAAGGAATGGTCTAAAGTCTAGACAGACTATTTGCTAGACTCATTGAGCGAGCATAAGCCTAGTTCTCAAGCGCTCATATGACTACTGCATAGCGGCGCCTATCGATATTCCAGCCAGCGGATGTATCCTTTCATGTATGTGATCGCCATATCCATAGCTACGTCCCTCTGCCACAGGCATATTAGCTAAAAGCGTGCAGTAGTGAAGCAGTTGAATGACGCAATAACGCACTTTGCTCAAACCTTTAGCATTGTGCAGTTAGTGATAAAGGATAGCGTTAGACAGTGCTCGTTCATTATTGACGGTGATTAGCAGGAGGCAAAGAAATATGAATGTCGATTGACTGCACTGCAATAAAGCTGTCCTCTAATGACTACAAAACTTTGTGGTAACACTTGAAAGGCGTATGTATCTAATGACACAGAACAGCGATATGATCTTAATAAGAATTAATTCATAAAGACATGTTAGGGCAGCGCATAGGAATGACTTGTTAATTGCTTAGTTGTTGCTAGTATGCATAGATGATTGGAGGGCGAATCTGAGAGTGATAAGCGGAAATGAATGAATAATGCCGAGAATTGATGATGAATTTCGAGAACGAAGAGAAAATGCAAGCAAGGGATCGATAATAGTACATAGAGTAGTAGTATTAGTTGATCGATTGTGTCAGAAAATGAGACTGATTGCGTGATGAGATTAGATTAGATAGGATCAGATCAGATCATATTGGACGAACGATCAGATCAAGTCAGTGATTTAGATGTTTATTTATCGCAATTTAACGAATCAACAAGACAATATTAATCACTTGGGCTGATTGATAGATACGCGAACACTGCTTATATGCAGCCAACAGATTTTATGGCAGCGTTCAGCCGAAGAAAAAACAAAACACTGAGTGAATTTATTCGATTGTTCATTCATTTAATCATGTACAATAATAATAACAGATTAACTGAGTGAGTAAACAGCAAACGCAGTGGCATTGGGTAAACGAATGAAATTATGCTTTACGTCATTATACTCGTCATGATGACGCACGAGAATTGCAATCACCAAATATTTATTAGTCACGGCAGACTGGCAGCAGAGCTGAATTCTGAATGTGAATTAATTGAAAGTGATCTGAATCAACGAAACTGATCAACTTCAACATGTTCACGTGAGGGAAGAGCTCACAATCAGTAAAAAAATTGAAAACAGCCAGGATATACATGAAAACACGGGTAATAAACATAGATAAACTGTTTAAAATGATAAATAAAGATGGTATTGGCAGTAATAGCAGGCAGTAGTAAT